GAGAGAGAGAGAGAGAGTGGTTCAAACATTACAGCCCAATGTATAACGCAGCTTCTACCTACTGTACAAAACTGACGTTTAACAGTTATGCGAAGCAAACGAACAAATAAAGTCAAGTCAATGAATCAACAAACCATCTGCGGACATTACGTGCAGATGCATGTCAGTTTTAGACAATGTTTTTCCATTACAACATACTCTACATGGGCAAGCTATATTCGTGGGCAAGTAAAGACATCTTCCCTTTGCGACCTATCATGCTTACATACTATTTGTAGAATTTCTAGAATTTTGTAGAACGTCTGCTTGATACATGTACATGCATCTCTGGAGTGACATGTACACAATTTGGGTTTTCACTACTCTCCAAGCAGAGGTTTGGAGTTATTTTTAGTGTGTTTTTAGGCTTTTTTATTGGGGTTTCTCTTTTGCACTGGATTAATCTTTTTATCCAGTGCAAAAGCGAAACAATCAAGTGCAAAAGAGAAACCCCGATAAAAAAAGCCTAAAAACACACTAAAAATAACCCCAAACCCAAACCTCTGCTTGGAGAGTAGGTTTTCACTACATAAGTGCTAACCTACAATATATTATACTTTGACATCCTTTATCCTTTGAGTAAACGTAGACTAATTTGTCTACTAATTTGTCTACTAATGAACTTATTTGTAAAAGATACTTTCCGAAGTTAAAAAGAGTGTTGAATTTAGCACTCACCTTGCTGAGTCCAATCCAGAATGCAGAGTCGCTATACTGGTGGCCGCCGATGACTTTGCTTACGATGAAGTCCTCAAGTGCCTTTGACGGAAGACCACCAGCTGTCTTTATGTCCGCAAGTTGGCCCCCGGGCTTCCTCGAGCAGGTAAAGCGGGCTTGCTGATAGTTCTGTCTCTCGGCATTAAGCCAATAGTCATAACCGTCGAAGCGGGCGGCAGTTATGAGACCTACACATTGAAAAGACAATAAGCAACAAGCTATACTAGACTCTATTGTAAGGTAGATTAGTCTCTTAGTACAGATATTGTATAGCAGTAGATGTCATGCATTGTACTTCGTACAACTGTTGTGCATTGCAGAGTTTATTATGATAAGGTTCTGTTGAATTTGCAAGGTTTCTACTCCAATTTAATAGCTCTATATCTGCTTTTAGTATTTTTAACATTATGAGGACTTTGAAATTGGTCCATATGAATGCTTTTTATTATTTTTTAAATGTCGTGTCTTTAAAAGTTCATTGCCCTTGTTTAGGACTGACTGTATATGAAAGCAACTGTATTTAACCTTCAATATGAGTATTCGCCAATATCTCCGTAATTGTAACCTAACAGTTGCTAAATTCAACCTAACACTTTCAAACTTTACTACCATCCAGGTCCAGCTTTTGCTGAGGACCTACGTACATATGCATCTTACTGGAGTGTTAATTTTTACAAACCTTTTAGTATCCTTTAAATACGTACATATCGAAGGTTAAAACTGATCATAAATATCATTGAAATAACGTATAGAATGACATATCAGGTTCCCTACCCGCACAAAATCCGAGCAGTAGTAGCGTTAACTTCACTGCCATAGCTGTTCTAGGCCTGGTCCGTACGCTTCTGAAAATATGTTTATTGAAAAAAGGCTTCAGATACTTTATTTTGACTTTTACATAAGATTCCATTTTCAAAAACTTTGTTGAAAGGGATACATTCGTTCTTGGCATAGAAGATTAATAGATCTATAATCTCGGCCTTTGGAAAAAATAGAATCAATCATGTAACTCACCTCCTTGCTTGTCTCCTACAGAGCACCCGTGGCCATACATGTATATACCCGTTTAAAGTGTAAAACACACAAGGAAACAGTGTATGGAAAACTGTGTGTGTGCTTCTATCTTGAGTAATCAAATTACAGTTCTTTTGTTGATACCCCCCCCCCAAAAAAAACAACATTTGAACAGCAAACTTCTTTATTCACGACTGCTTATATACAAACAAGAGCCAGCGTTTCGACGGTCGCCTGTCATCTTGTTAAACAAGCGGTTATGAATGTATGAAGAAGTTTGCTATTTAATAACCAACCTGATAAAATTATTCGAGCGTTAGCATTTGCCATGCCGCGTAGTTGCTAGTTCTTAACACTTAACTTAGATTAGATATAGATCGAACAGGAGTGCCAAGCAAATACAAAACGCTAAAATCATTTATAGTACTAATATCAAATGAAACTATATGCCTTTATTAGTAAGTATGTGACCATCGTTTTATTAGTATACCTTTGATTGTGACATTTAACAAGAAAATTATAATTTAAAGTGGTGTTTGAAATTCTCTTGAGGCATTCAATATGAGAAACTCTAGCTGTAAAATGTGCACTACCATATGTTTTGTTAAATATCCTGGGAAGAGTTAGAACAATGACAATTTTTTAAAGTTTCCAATAATGTCAATAGTAACAGAAATTTCAACCATACTTGTAGTATTGTGTAACAGAGTGACCTAACTAATGCTTAGGTCACATTTCCAAACCAGGGCCCGGCCGGGCTGTCTTTTGTAACGAAAAATATGGTATAAAAGACAACAACGCACAAAACACTTAAGAAATATCATCAATGGTACTATTTGTGTATATTCTTGATAAAAATTGTTGATTTTTCGTTAATTGAAACAGCCCGGCCGGGCCCCGGCTTGGAAATGTGACCTCAGCATAAGGGGCGGAAGGGGACGAGATCTCCGGAGGAGGGGGGGGGGATCAAATCGCTAGCGATCTAACTCCCCTCCCCCAGGTCAAAATCAATGGGGGCGAGATCGCTGTGACGCCGGCATAAAATTGCATTGGATTCCTTTAATACTGCGGCAGAGACTGATATTATCCTGGTAATATCTTCACCTTTACGCCAGCTGTTATTTTGAGTCAATAAGGGCGCATGCATACGTGGACTTCGACCTGCACTCTTTGACATGGAGTAACCTGAGAATTGTCGGTGTCGTGTGAATGCATACCTTGCTTTACAGGTGCGAAGACACATGCCTTGCGTGATATTAATCTAATAAAAATGCAGCTTGACTTTGCAAATGCCACAAGAATGAAAGAACGAAGTCATTACCACTACAGTAGTATCTTCTAATTTATTATACAGACTTGGTCTTTATTTGCATGATCAATATCTATCGACATTCCACTGTATCTAACATGTTACATCTAACATTTGTTTGGAGTCCGTAATTACACCCAGGCCCCCATCAGACGCAACCGATGATGTCAACATGACTTAGCACAGTACTCCTGGCGGAGGTCAATGACCCCCTTCACTGTAGCCACCTGTGCAGGCCTCCGGGTGGGTGGGAGTTTTGATTCTGCTTTTTGTAGAATTTTTATCGCGTCCTTTTGCCGGCAACCCTACAACCAGCCGCCCAGTGAAGGTTTGTACCCATCCCTGGGCGTCTGGTTGTAGGACGGTCGGCAAATAAACGCGTTAAAAGTTCTCCCACCCACCAGGAGGCCTGCACAGGAGGCTACTTCACGGAGTAAAGAAACTAACGCGGGATCGCACAGAGCTTAAACGGATGCGGTCTCAACGTCATTCCAAAGTCACCGTCAGTGGTTGGAGGAGGAGCGCCCTCTGGCGGCTGGAAGGTGAAGGACTGCAGCAGGGTCGAGAAGAACAGGAAGAGCTCCATCCTGCTCAGCTGTTCCCCAAGACACACGCGTCGGCCTGGAAATAAAGAATGTTGAGTTGTAAGACACAGTCGTAATTTTGACACGGAAATTGCAGAGCTACATGGACGTAACGTATCCGTGCGTTTTGCCATACGTAACGTTAACCTGGCAAACGTGGCGTATCGACCCATAATACGTGACGTATAAACCCCAAAATGCTAATTTTTTTACGTACGTCTTAATTATGTGATTTTGACACAGAAATGATGCCATAGTATGGCAAATAATAATAAATTGTTCATTTTTATTTTTTCACATTTTCGTCTTTTCCTTCGGAATTTTAGCATTCTAGTCAAGACATTGGACAGTCCATTTTTTTTTTACAATTTACAACATGTATTTGCTCATTTTGCAGCTGATTTTTGCGATTTCCAGTATGGGCAAAAACATTTATTTGAAATGGAATCAGGCTGGCAATTACCTCCTCCAAAAGGCATGAAGGACTCAGGCTTATTGATGACGTTCCCTTCCGCGTCCAGAAACCTTCCGGGGTCAAACCGGTCCGGATCAGGCCAGTAGGCGGGGTCCATGTGGAGGGAGTGCACGTTCGGTAGTACCTGGATCATACAAAATAGAAACAATAATTGGATACCTCTAGCCTCCATGAAATATTCAGATCTTGTGTGATTGTGACTGTGTTTATGTGGTGTTTGCGTGTCTACTCAGTTATCGTGCAGGGAAACAGCAGCTGTCCGCTGAGAGAGAGAGAGAGAGAGAGAAAGGAGAGAGAGAGAAGAGAGAGAGAGAGAGAGAGAGAGAGAGAGAGAGAAGAGAGAGAGAGAGAGAGATACAAAAAATACCTCCATTTATCATGGAGATGTTGGCGTCATGGAGATAAATCGCGCGCACACACACACACACACACACACACACACACACACACACACACACACACACACACACACACACACACTTCAAACATAACATGTTTAGAATGAATTCGGTAGATCTTTCCTTACAAATGATTGTCACCGGATAAGGCATATGGCCACTTTTACATTGTTGCAGCGTTAGATCAAGAATCAAGACAGTGTGACCTAATGAAGGATAGCAATACCTGGGTACCCTTAGGGATTTCATATTCCCCCACTTTTACCGTCTCTGCGGTGGCGTGGGGGATCGCTACAGGTCCGACGGGCCGGATCCTCATGACCTCCAGCAGACAGGCGTTCACGTAGGGCAGCTGGGAACGGTGGGACAGGGCGGGCAGACCCTCACCAACAACGGCATCAAGCTCCTGCTGCACCTGTTAAAGTTACATTGTATTGGAACCAGACGTATGAGACATTATAAGGTGCCATAGAAGTCGAAGGAATACAAAGAATAATGTATCGCAGTCAGTATAGGAAATGCAAAGAAAGGGAACTTGGACTCAATCCTAAATTTCTTGTGATCTCTGCCAGGCTCTACTTGGTCTGACATATATATAGACCCACAGGATAAAGTATGATGCTGACAAGTACCTTATTCTGGATGTCGGGGTTCACTGTCATGTAGAGGAGACTCCACATGAAAGTGTCGGTGGTTGTCCCTATTCCCGCCATAAAGAGGTCCTGGGCCATGTACAGGACGTTCTCCTCCGTCAGACCCTCCACCTTCTCCTGCTTCTCAACCTCCAGCAAGCAGAAGTCGAGGAAGTCTCGCGGGTTCTCGCGATCCAGGTTCTCGCGATGGCGAGATATCTCCTCCCTCAACACATTTAGGACCTTGGAACAATCTTTCAACGCATTGATGGCGGCTCTATTCACTGCAGAATACAGGGGGGGGGGTAACATAGATGCAAAAGAGAAAAAGGGTTAAACGTTCAGGCCAACACTGAATGAATTGGGACTTACCCAAATTTTGCAGCTTCCGGGACGTGACGTCGGAAACACGTGATTGCAGCAAAGGGTTGTACGTGTCAGATAACCTCTGCTGAAATCACGTGATTCCGACGTCACGTCCCTGAAGCTGCAGTAGAACAAGGCTGAAAATTTGGGTAAGTCTCAATTTATTCAGTGTCGGCCTGAACGTTTAACCCTTTTTGTCGTAAATGAATTATACCAAGTTGAACACAGATGAACGTTCATGCATAGTTGTCCTTAAGGTAATTCAATCAATCAATCAATCAATCAATCAATCAATCTTTATTCAAACAACTAGCAGACCTCAAGTCTGAATTGAGTTGTTTTTACAATTCATAAAATTAGATATTAAACAATACTAATGGTTTAAAAAATACATAATCTTTTATTAAAAAAAGAAATACATAATTCATGATTGCATGTACGACCAAGGAAGATAATCTACTTGGTGAGACTAGTCGCTAATGGACTGGACACAATATATATACCTACCGACAGGAACAAACCGCAGCAAGGGGAAAACGCTGATGATCTGTGCAGCTCCAACTAGATTCCCGAGAGCGCGAATCGCCTCTGTCAGTCCCCTGAACGTCTCGTCCGTGTAGTCATAGCGGTTGCCCATCATCATGGAACAGATAACGTTTGCAACCGCTACGCAGACGGCATGGTAGATGTCAAAGGGCTCTCCATTGCCATCTGCAATCTGAATAGAATTTGTCATAAAAGTTTATCTGTTTTGGTGTCCATTGCCATCTACAATCTGAATAGAATTTGTCAGGAAAGTTCCTCTGTTTTGGTGTCCATTGCCATCTACAATCTGAATAGAATTTGTCATAAAAGTTAATCTGTTTTGGTGTCCATTGCCATCTGCAATCTGAATAGAATTTGTCAGGAAAGTTCATCTGTTTTGGTGTCCATTGCCATCTACAATCTGAATAGAATTTGTCAGGAAAGTTAATCAATCTGTTTTGGTGTCCATTGCCATCTACAATCTGAATAGAATTTGTCAGGAAAGTTAATCTGTTTTGGTTAAATTTACAGATTTTAAGTAAAAATGTTCGTTCCAACACAAGAGAATTGTCACTTTGGTCTTCTTCAATAGACTGACCCAGTGAGAAATCGTCACATGACGGCGCCAGACATCGTTCAGTAGATACTATTGACCCAGTGCTGACGTCACACTTCAGAGAAACCACGTAACAAGTCTCGTTGGCCAGACCATATCGCAGACCACATGCCATTTTTGCCGGAAGAAATTATAAAATGATTCCTAATAAGGCATAGATGACAGGGACTTCATAATACGTCAAGAAAACTTGTTATGTCAAAAGAGAAAATTATCGATAAATTGCTCATTAGATTGCCTCTAGTACTATAGCTGACACACAATGTAACACATATTCGCTGACACACAATGTAACACGAGAGTAAAAGATCAACAATGTGTTTGTTCATTTTCCGTCTTACCATGTTGCGGAGATAGCTCGCCTCCTCTCGGATTTTCCCCTCGATGCTGCCAGTTCCCACCTTCATGCCCAGGCTCTTCAGGACGGCAGTGGAGAAATTTTTTCTCTGTTTGAACTCGCTCCCCCAGCGTGCCATAGATATGCCTGCAAAAACAGACAAGAATTCGGTACAATTCGGAATATGTATATACAGCTTGACCTTTGCCCTCCCAGGACCTACCCACATACCTACATGTAGTACCTAAACCGTAAATTCATCCAGACCATTTTAAATTATTGTGCTGACCGAAAATACGCAGAAATACACAAACACACACTTTCTGTCTGTGATCGTCGTTAGACATCAGTTTATTTTGGGTCTCATATTCAATTCTGCGCATGCACACTCCCAAGTCTAGCGATCGTCTCTTTCAGGAAATAATGAAGCAAAAAACACTCCATCAGAAGACAGAAGACCTGGAGCCATCCGAGAGGCCGAGCTCCGACGAGGGGTGGTTATTCCACTCATTTATCGTTCTTGAAAAAAAAGAAAATCTAAAACAGTCTGTTTTGGCAGGTATTGCTTGATATTTATATTCATGACTTCCTCTGGTACGCCTATGGGCAGGTTTGAGGTTCGCTCGGCTCCAGGACAGAGGCACGCCGCGACCCGAAGGTTCCCACTCCCCCACCCGGTGCCGACACTGCCGTTCCACAGAGGACTGAGAATAGCTTTTTATGGTGCGTGCGTGTATCACATAGTACATGTATCAGTTAGTCGTTTTCGTCTCAATTTTGTGAACTTGATGATCAGGGACTCTTTCAGGGTTTATTCTATATTCAAAGCTAAAGTATGTCGTTTTCTAACTTGACAAACAGACAATGCTGCTTTTTCATCAGATTTATAAAGCTTTTATTATAGTATATTAGCTATTTATAAAGCTTATCCCAGGGTGCTTTCCTCTCTGACCTTTGGGTTACTAAAACATGATTATGAAATGCCTTCTAACTGCAGCTGTATCAAAGTTTGACTTTCTCACGGGTTCATCCGTGGGTCATGTCCTTATAGTTGACCGGTCAGAGGAACCCACATGCACCTAATTTGTTTCTTCACGTGCACTAGCTTTTATTGATTTATTAGCGGGTCAAACCTTGTCATTAAAAAGGGTATCGACATGCTGCCACTCATATTTTCGAGATCATACCGCCTGGGTAACAAAGTTTAATCGGGACAACAAGGTTATCGACAGGACAGGACTGCACGGCCTCTTTTCTTACATTTTCACAGACAAAGACTTGGCCTAAGATACTGTTCTGTACGCCGCGCGGCCGACGTAAGAACCAGAAGCCCAGTGCCGAAATGGTTTAACTCGGCTCGGTAGTTATTTTGCTCCAACTATTCAAAGACACAGAATTTCAGAAAACAATTTACAAATGTATCTTTTGAACAAGTTTAATAAACATCTTTTTCAAGCATATCTTGCTAAAGCGCGGGTTGTGGGTGTGGCCGAAC